GGGGAAAGTGGACCAAGAGGACCTCCTGTCGGGTTTGAACAGAGGCGCACATGGCAACGGTCTGTGCGTAAACACTGATGGCGGGGTCCGCCATTCCGATAGGAATGAAGACACTGATATGGGCGCAGCAACCACGGGCGAGACGAACACAGTGGACGCGAGCAAGGCACGCGGGACTTGCACAACCAACGCGCTCAATGCAAACAAGACCAATGACCGTTGTCATGCTAAGGCCTGCCTCCCCCTCCGAAGAGGCGAGGGTGAGAAACACTGGCCAGCTCCACCCCCGCTCCCGGAGGGCATCCAGCGTCAATAGACGAAGAGCCGACGAAATGCCGGTTTGACACCTATAAATACTGTGAGGGGCGTAGAAAACTAAGCTCCGAAAATACAAGCCTGAAAGCTTTCGAAACGTCAGGATATTATACCTTTTATTTCGTGATCGCATCTTCTCCTAATTTATGTCCGGGAAATTGCATTTTTGCCTCAATCAACAAGATTAAGGACTACAAATTTCACTTTGATTATAAAAGTGGCCAGTAGAGACGTGCGTGTTGCTTAACTTGACGTGTGACCGCCCAATTAGTGGGTTGCCGAGTGGTCAAATCGGAAGTCTAGCTACCTAAGTTATACGGCTCCCCTGCCAACTGTCAGCTGACACAGCGCAATGAAAATCATGCAACATTGACGTTCATAGATCCATGCTGATTGGTTCGGTGTGGCCAGCTTTCGACTCGAGAGAATGTGATGTCCATTGGCAGAAATAACTTGCTGATAAAAATTCCCATAAAGCAATATACGCGTGACTAAAACTCACGTTAAAGTGGTTAAGGGATTCCAGTCGATGCAGTTAAAAGTGCTGAGGGAAGTGTTTCAGGTAGAAAATTCAATTATCTTTTAGGTCTAATTGACGTATGCTTTTATAGGAACGTTTAAATAGCTTAAACTTGTAACAACTCTCGTTTAGTTAATCATTTACACAGAAAACTATGGTAAATTATTAAGACCACGTAAAATACTATAAGTTAGATACCGCGCATAACCAGAGGCTAAGTGAAACAGCAAACTACACTGAGAAAACCAAGTACTACCTCGGCCATTCGTAGGAGTTGACGGTTTCCCTATCTCTTCGCATTAAAAGAGCAGCTGATCTTGTGCTGCCCGCTTTATGCGAGGTCATTTGAAAGCAAATTTATTTTACCGTAGAGACAAACAGGTTGATTGGAATAGGGAAATACGTAAACCAAAATTATACTAGACAAAAAGTGTACCAGCCATATGTTTTATAACTTGTTATGGACTGCTTTATAGCAGGCTGATCTAATCTGATACAAGAACAAAGACCCAATCGTAAGAGCACCTTAACAATTCCGTCGACTTCTATAAGTGCGTTTCGAAATAATTGTAGGCTTCCTTTCACTCTGCTCTGTCACTTCGAGCACTCTCTTAGCTGATTAATTATTATCTGTCTCACGAAGTCTGGTAGGTATTAGTCCGAGATTCGCAGGCTATATGCAGGCTTTGGTGTTCATTTTATTTTCAATGTGGTGCATGTAGTATCTATTCGCAGAAATACGACAAAAGAGAAACATGAGTTGATTTTAACACATTAACAGCATCCAAAGCTTTAAGATTTATAATTTCTTTACCATAACTAGAAGTTTTTCTATTTAACTTATGTCGACATATTTTGCCGTTTTCTCTTCTGAATTTGTAACTCTTCTTTAAACTAATATCAAACCTAAAATTATTGACCTCCTCGGCTTGGCTGCCTACTGATGCTGTTTAAATTTTTATCAATATCATTTTTGTGTAAAGGCCCACTTAATAATCTTCTTCGCGTCTTACTAGTACGAATTAAGTGTAGCAAAATTAGAACTTTCAATTACTCACGAAGTAGCAACTGGAAAATAGTGTCCAAATACTTTATAACGAAATACTTAGTCGCTTCAGATTTATACCGAGTACCTTCTCTACGAAAACATTGTTATTTTTGGATAACAGGAACGCTTTCTTTCGTTTCATTATTTAGTATATGTATTCATTTAATTATCGACAACACATAGAAGCATATTATTCCCTCTTATTTACGCATACTTTGTGAGATGTTAAATATTGGGTGTTTGAGGATGCGTCGGCCATCTTTGGAGGCGAAGAAATTGAGAAGGACTTTTCATTTTTTAGTTTCCATCACCTTGTGCATCATAGTCTTTGATCTAATCTTTGACATCCGCCAAGAAATGTCCATTTTTGGGGTATTTCAAAAACGGAATCTGCTTCTCAGCATCAATTTCTCCAGATGTGTCTATATGTCTATACAGTCGGAGAGTTTCCTTCAGCTTAATAAAAATGAAATAATGTCAAGTCGTTCACTTGGTTTCACTGATTTGTTTGTTGGATTTCAGTGTTTACAGTTGTTCTCTCATAGCCTTAGGATGTTCATAGGAGATGCGTCCGTTGCTATTGGTTTTAGGAAAGTGGAATAAAGAGCATTGGAGTTTCCTGTGTCAACCTCAAAGTTAATCGACGTGACCAGGTGTTGCTAGGTAACAGCGAGTTCATTTTTGTCGACATGTGAACTACAAGGAAGAGGGATCTGCTCCTGTTTAACTCTGATCTGATCTTTTAGACGTAGGAATGCCACCCGAGTCGAAAAAGAGCATGGAAATGTGTGCTGGTTGCCAGTGCTTTAACCGTTCAACCGGACATACTCTGGGTCTGATTTAGCATAACCACCAAAATTTGAGCAGCACAACTTATAACATATCAGCAAACAGCTAACTGAAAAATACTGACGAACCAACGGTGGTTAGATATTTACTCTGTCCATTGTGTTGCTGCCTAGGTTTGGTTTGTTTACTTTTATTGATTTTGGTTTCGGGGAAACGGCGTTTCCAAATTTTCTCTCATAGACTTCTGGTGTCCGTGGAAAATTCATCTGTAGTTACTTTCTAGGAAACTGGATAAAAATGTATTGCAGTTTTGTGCTTCAGTTTCAAGGCTAATCCCTGTAACCAGAGGTTGCTGTTAAACACTAAATTCGCATTTCTGACTTATGAATGAAGAGGAAGAGAGAAAGGGTCCTGTTTAACTGAGGGCTGATCATTTGGACGCGAAGATGACAGTGAGCAAGAAAAAGTACGATCGTTTTCAGCGCTCCAATCGTCAGTCCAACCGGAGATTCTCTGGAGTACGATTTGGGACCACACTCATGCCATTATTTAGGCGGCACCGCTAATAACCTCTCATAAAGATGCCGTCACTTTGTATACCTAATGGGGAACGGCAAGGAAGGGAAACCAAACAGACATTAGCAGGTCCTCCTGATAGCAAATACGCCAACCTCACAAGTGTACGTAAAGGGACACTACTCTCTGTAAATACTTTTTGTTCCGACGAAGAAATACTCTCTTCTCATCAATCCCAACTGAATTGGCGCTTTCATGGCACTAACCAGAAAAATTTATAACACAAGGGAGTGTGGGAGATAGAAGCCATTCCGTCTTATTAGCCAAAAGACATACTTCAGCAAAAGGCCGGTTTATTTAAGATTAGTTCGAAAATATGATCGTATATGCGGTCAAAGTACCTTTAAAATGATTTAAACGCAATTCAGGGTTATTTTTATAGACACCAGGAGGTAATCACTCCTCAAGAGATGCGATATATCCCAAAAATTCCTGATAGTTTAGTTGGCCGTCCTTATTTGTGTCATAGACTTTCATCCAGGCATACACGCTATCTTGCAAGTCCTCGGAGCCCGTTCGCCGAAGAAAGTCCTTCAACTCCTCGGCACTTAATGTTCCGCTTCCGTCTTTGTCAATGGATTTAAACAGCTGCTTCCACCTTATGGAGACAAATTTGAATGCATAAAGAGTTGAGACGCGTTGCAATACTTAATTTCTTCAATCAATTGTAGCAGATAAGTTTGCATAGCTTGATTCAAATATTCAAGCATTATGTTTTGGATAAAAGACCGAGATTAACTCAGTGTGCAAAAAGATTCAAAACGCTTTCGAAGACTAACTGTAATATTTTAGTCTTTTCAACTAGGATAGGATGTTTGATTAAATTGATGATTGTCAGAAAGTTTTACAAACCGGAAAAATGTATTTCTCGAATAAATAAGTTACTTACGTTTCCAATGGCTGACTTGATATGTTGAGTGCAACTTTATACTCCCCAAATGTAATTATGCCATCCCCATTGAGGTCCAGTTTTTCCATTAATTTCTGCAGTAAAAGAAGAGAGAAACTTAAGCACCGGATTTCAATAATGAACAGTATGTTCCATTGATTTCTGATTTAACAATATGGCCGTTTTGCCATCGTCTCGACCAATCCATAAAATATGCAATGCTTGTTCTGTTCAAAAGGCGAAACCTTATAAATAATTACCGAAGTGCGTAACCTTATTAAGCTATTTTATTTTTCTCAATGTTGATATATATGGCAAAGGCCTTATCTGATGCGCGGGTTCAAATTTCGCCAAACGCCTCGAGTTTTTTCACAATTGTGTCAACTCGGAATATTTAGGGTCAGGAAACTAACGTGAGCATATGCTCACCGGGATAAGTGCTAATCAAGATAAAAGTCAAGCGCATAATATATGAAATCGTGTTTGAGTGTTTATTTTCATAACAAGAAAACGAATGCCTTCGTTTAAAGGCACATTTGGAAAACATTTCCACTATGGGTTATTTTTTCATCTCCACCTCAAAATTGCTTACAGGGAGGTTAGCTTTTCCAGCTCCATCCGAATTAGTCATTAATGTGTAAGGAGGTAAAGCGCAACAATTTCTAAATTGTATTATCTACCAGAAGGCAGCCTGAAGAGTCAAACCCCTCACAGCTTTTTCATACAGTGTCAGCATATTGGCAAGATACATATCAGGATGGAAGTATTGTCTATCTTATAACCAAACTTTGCCTTTTAATTAGAAGGGTGACTAACTTACGTCGGCTCTTGCTGAGGCCATTCCGTTATCTCTGAGAGTGGCGATTAGTTCCTCACGCGTTAACATTCCACTGCCATCCGTGTCCGCAGCTTTGAAAGCGTCAATGTATCTTTTGGCTCTTGACGACATTCTCTAAAGAAGGAAATTGCACTTGATAATCTATTAAGCTATGCTGAGGTATTTACACATTTTGTTGGTGAATATTTGCAAAAGCTAACACAAGTGCGCCAATGATACTTCTCGCTTAATTCACCTTCTACTACTGCACATACGAAATTTTAAAAATATATATTGGTAGTTATCCACTGTATGAGGAGGAAAGTGATGGAAAATGCATCTGGCGTATTCTAAAGAATAAACAGTCCAAAAGATAGCTTTATATTTTCAGAATCTTCTGTCTAAAAAACCTAGCCATCAACCTGACTTCCTGCAGCAAATTTAATTGAACGTTTCTTTTAAATTTCAGCCTGAAAAACAGGTAATAGCACTGTCTTAATGACGTTAACTTTTTAACTTTTCTTACTGTTACTGAAAACAGTTATTCGATCAGTTTCATATTTTTTATGAAACGCAAACTCTTCGGAACGAGATTTATCGCATAGTCTACGGAGTAGTATATTTACTACTGCATACATGCGGGTTTAATAATATATGCTTACTTATTCACATTCCATCTTGGCACATGATGGAACATACACATGGTATAGCACATTAAATTTGACTTCAGTTCATTAATCCCAGTGAAATTTTAACTCGACCTGAATCATATTCAGTAGCATTAAATTAATGTCAAGAATGTTTTAAACTTTATTCAACGTACCGTGATACAGCTTTTTGGATCAGTTTCATAAATGTTCTTACCCTTATTGTAAAAGAGTCATTTGGCCAGTTTTATATTCCATGAAACGCCAACTTGTCGGAACTAAGAAAAACAGTTTAATTCTTCAAGAAAGCTTTATTGGATCCAGATGCCAATAGGAGTCCCGCCTGTTTTAAAAGGTTTGGTTGTCCAGATATACAATAGTTTAATTATGAATGTTAGTTTGTATGCTTTGGACGCTCCACTACTCAAGGCAGTGAAATGCATATAAAACATCAACAGAAAGCAAAAAACCTCGACTGCTTGCCAAGCGCCAGGCTTGTGAGAGGGAGAGAGAGTTATCAGCAAAAACTAACCTGTATATTGATGCGCGCAATAGAATATGGAGGGAGCAGTGGTCATATATATTTATGGTTTCTGTTGACGCAAGCCTGTTACTTGACTTTTCAACGGACTTTTGAATGCGCCAATCCGACTTTCTGATGAAAGTTTGTAGAGGCTGACTTTGAGCATCAGGTTTTGTTGTCTGGAACACGAATGCGTGTCCCCTGATAAAATCACGTGCTTTTGCAAACCAGGGCCAGATTTTGTAAGATGGGTGCTCAGCCGCTACTCTTCGTTTTGTGGATCGATCAACAGTCAAACACATAGCGACTAACAGTATTACAGATAAGGACATGGGAATGGCCGGCTAATGAATGCTGAATAATTAGAAATAATCACTCTACTCTCCAGATAACACTGCCGGCAAAGACAAGAAAAAATGGAATGATCATCTCTGGCACATGAGCAGTCTTCAGTAGCTGTATGGTTAGGGCTTTAGATGTCTAATCAAAATGCTGCGGGTTTGAAACTCTAGTTGGGTATGACTGGCAGCGTAAATGGTTCATCTGAAGAAAGATTAAAACTGTTAGTCAA